ATACTGCATCCGCTGTACCCGGTGTGGCTTCCTCTACATCGGGGAAACCAAGCGGAGACTCGGGGACCGCTTTGCAGAACACCTACGCTCGGTTCGCAACAAACAACTGCACCTCCCAGTCGCGAACCATTTCAACTCCCCCTCCCATTCCTCAGATGACATGTCCATCCTGGGCCTCCTGCAGTGCCACAACGATGCCACCCGAAGGTTGCAGGAACAGCAACTCATATTCCGCTTGGGAACCCTGCAGCCCAATGGTATCAATGTGGATTTCACAAGTTTCAAAATCTCCCCTCCCCCCACCACATCCCAAAACCAGTCCAGCTCGTCCCTGCCTCCCTAACCTGTTCTTCCTCCCACCTATCCCCTCCTCCCACCTCAAGCCGCACCTCCATCTCCTACCGACCAACCTCATCCCGCCCCCTTGACCTGTCCGTCCTCCCTGGACTGACCTATCCCCTTCCTAACTCCCTACCTACACTCACCTTTACTGGCTCCATCCCCACCTCTTCGACCTGTTTGTTTCCTCTCCTCTATCCCTCTTCTATCCGCCTCCCACTCTCTCCCTATTTATTTTGGAACCCCCTTCCCCTCCCCCTTTTCTGATGAAGGGTCTAGGCCCGAAACGTCAGCCACTCTGCTCCTATGATGCTGCTTGGCCTGCTGTGTTCATCCAGCCCTGCACCTTGTTGTCTCAGGCAGTGTCTGTTTCAGGTCATTAAAACTGATCAAGGGTAACCTCCTTGCGCACCCCCCCCCCCACGTCTGCCACCCATTTCCCTTCAGAATAGTGTCACTGGAACTTTTATCCCCACCTCAGAGGGGCTGACACATCTCACTGCAAAAACAACATCTACAACACTGCAGCACTCCCTCAGTACTGTACGGCACTGGGTCTGTTAGCCATGTGCATGTATTCAGGCTTCTGGAATGGGACTTGGTCTCATAATCTTCAGACCCAGAGGGTGAGCGTTATCCAACTGGTACCCTTACTCCTAGTGAAACGGCACAGTCTGTTTGCACATGTTTGCCAGAGTGCACTTGCCTTGCAGCAACAGGATTGACATCCAAAAAGTTTCAAAAGTGATCATTCTGAAATAAAGCATTCTGTTTTGAGTTCAGCTTGCCCTGGCCACAATTACACCTTATTGTAGCAGTAAATCTGATTTCACTGAGAGATACAAATGATAGTAAGCAGGGAATGCTATCCTACTCCATCCAATGGAAAATGGTCCTGTTTGAGTTGGATGCTTCCATGCTCCCCATGACTTCATTGGAATGTTTGGGCTGGATCTTACATTCCATGGTCAGGGCAGCGTTGAAGATGGGCTTATAAAATCCTGCAGTGTGGCCTTCCTACTGTCTATCCCCTGCCCTGACCTCTCAGAAGGAAAGACCAGTAAACTGGCAGATGAGATATATTAGTCCAAATTGTCTTGTACAATCAAATTAGAGCTCCATTGTAACCAGTATATCCATTTCCAAGCATTACGTTTTTTCAAACAGCTTTTTCTCTTTGACCTATCTGAAATTTTACAGTGACATTGGGTGGCCTCCATGATCTTGGACCCATGGATGCTCTTCAGTGCCAGAAAACAGCCATTGTACTTGACTGGTGCTAGTGAGACTTGCAGAACTGGCTCCAAGTGGGACATGTTCCTCAGATAGGGCAGGATATTCATTCACTGTTTGTGGTGTTTTGAACCAGACCAAACTCTCTCAAAATATATTAAGAAAATAGCCTAGACCCTAACTTTTTCTTATTTTAAAGGTAAGCGTAAGGTCTTGTGTTCCAGATGCAATTTGATTGCTCAAACTACTTAACGTTAAGCAAAACATACTTTATTCATGCATTATAGATCAAATACAACAGAAGTAAAAATAAAGAAAAGAATTGGCTTAGCTGTAATTCAATCAAAATGCTTAACAAAATAATAGGTACAGTAGCTATTACTAATTAACTGTTCCAGGATAGTAACATCCCGTGAATACATCCTTGGCAAAGGCAAATTCAGAAAAACAGATTATTTCATATGCAACTCCAGCAGCAGGCAAACACCAAGAGGAAACCCTGGGGGAGAGAGTGCAGTAGGGAGAGATGTACTGCAATTTCCAAACCCTGCTGAGACCCCAGCAACAACTGCTGAAAGCTAAAACTAAAAATCCTGGTTCTGTAGGAGTTTGACCACACACATTCAGCCAGCCTCTATTGTTCCAACTTTGCAAACAACCCCAAGGCCTCACAAACTGTTTACTTTATGAGTTTTCAATAGACAGCTCGGGACCTCTTCCTTAAAACCTCTCTTCAAAAAAACCCAAGACAAAATAAAGCCACAGTACCAACAATAGTGGGCATTGCTGGGTGGGCCAGCATTTACTGCACATCCCTAATTGCCCAGAGGGCAGTTACGAGTTAACCACATTGCTGTGTGTCTGGAGTCACACATAGACCAGATGAGGCAAGGACAGCAGTTTCCTTCCCTAAACGATGTTAGTGAACCAGATGGGTTTTTCCGACAATCAACAATGGATGCAAGAGCATCATTACACTCTTAATTCCAGATTTTATTTTATTGATTTCAAGCTCCACCATCTGCCATGGCAGAATTCCTAGCGCTATTATTGCTGGACTGTTAGGCCGGAGACCCAAGTAATGTCTTAGGATCCTTGGTTCGAATCCTGTCTCACCATAAAACTGTTGACACTATTTTCAGCATTAAATTGCTGCTGGACATCATCAGTGGTGTACAGGCTGAACCTGACTTTTTACCTGGGCAAGTTAAGGATGGGAGCATACAGGGACAGATAAAAGCCAGCCTGCAAAAATTGTGTGAGAAGTGTAGTCCATCTGGGTGCTTAATGGCCCCTGACCCGAAACCCAACTATTTGCACCTTGTAGATTTGGTTAAAATTACTTTCAGCACTCTAGTTTGGGTCTAACTGGAACAGAATGGCATGGAATTTCCATAGGAGACTGTCTTCACACTGTCCAAGGTTCACC